GACTCCGATAGTTAATCAACCGTAGAGATACGATCAGTGATGACTTTCTGAAAGTTTCCTTAAAATCGTTCCAGTGGCTGTTGAGMTGTTTTGCTAACAAACTGGGTTGTTAATGTCAAAATTTAAAGTAAAGATCTTGTACAGTTAAAAGTGCTTGGAGTACAAGTTGTGAATGACTCTTAGCTACTGCCACACCAAATTTGATATCAGTATCTGTAAAACTGACTGAATTATTATTATTTCTGTTTGTTTGAAGATTGGTTGACTGTGTTAGAGATTTTGAATGAAATTGACTCTAAAAATCAACCGCTTGCAGGTATATGTTCAATSACTACATTTTGAGAGTTTCATTAAAATCTGTCCAGTGGTTCAGTAGATATTTTGCTAACAGACACAAAAACATAAAAATTAGTGGTGATGGTTGTAGTAATAATATACAACAGAAACTGAAACAAATGTTTAAAATCGTGTTCATCTTTAAAGTATTTGAAAAAGGAGAGCAGTGAGATGGAGCTGTGAAACAAAGAGGAAATCTGATTTGAAACTAGATTGAAAATTTTAAAATAATAAACTTGTGTTGATGGACATGGAGAACAGGTTCTTAAAAAAACCTAACCTGATACAAGTTTTTTTTGTTTGTTTTTTACACCTGACATATTGTTGCTCTGGCTCATTTGCTCCAAACTGAAATGAATTCTCAGAACTTTTTACACCTGTCCTGTCTCGTGTTTTACACCACAAGAAGAAAAAAAAACTGGTTTTTCTGTTTGAATTAATCACTAATGTTTCTCAGAATTACTAGTGAACCAAARGGGAACTGAACAGAGACCCATTCTGTAGGGAAAAAAAAGGTTGTTTGTTTGAAGTTGTCAGTTTCTGGACAACGGAGCTAAATGTTGGTTGAATTATGATAAATCCTTTGGCCACACCTTGAAAAATTCACTTTGCATAATCTTGTGCAACATCACAAGACCACATGACTCAGCTATACCACACCCAATTTTAAATAATTTTCCAAAGAATCGACTGATTTGTTGTCATTTTGTGCTGGCTATTGCCTAGTTATCTTAAATCCGATTGACTCCAAATATTAATCAACTGAAGATGTACATTCATTGATTACTTTCTGAAAGCCTGTAGGTTTCACTGAAATCTGTCCAAATACAGTACACTGCCTGGCCAAAAAAAAAAAAAAAAAGAAAAAGAAAAAAGAAAAAGTGTCCACCTGGATGGTCCACCTAAACTAAACAAAAGTCTATGATGTGGGGCTCCTGCAGTTGGTCAGGTCTAGGTTCAGCAACAGTTTGTGCTCAAAGAATGATGTCAACACCTGAATATACTGAATAACCAGGTKATTCCATCAATGTTTCTTCCCTGATGGCATGGGCATATTCCAAGGTGACGATGCCAGGATTCAATGTGCTCAAATTGTGAAGGAGTTCAGGGAGCATGAGACGTCATTTTCACACATGGATTGGCCACCAGAGCATTGAGAATCTTTGAKATGTGCTGGAGAAGGCTTTGTGCAGGCAGCGGTCAGACTCTACCATCATCAATGCAAGATCTTGGTGAAAAATTAATGCAACACTGGATGAAAATAAACTTTGACATTGCAGAAGCTTATCGAAACAATGTCACAGTGAATGTGTGCTGTAATCAAATCTAAAGGTGGTCCAATGAAATAGAGTGTGTGACCTTTGCTTTTGGTGGACTTTATTTTTGGCCAGGCAGTGTATTTAATGGTATGATTTGCATACTGAGGATCAATCTCAGCTACTGCCACACCAACTTTAAGTGTTATTGACATTTTTTATTTTGTTAAACCTGGCACGTTGAAACAAGTCGACTACAAAAGTTGCAGCTGTACATCCTATTTGAATGTGTCTTCTGTGGTTCATGAGATATTTTGCTGACAGACACAAGTAAAGAAAAAACATGATCGTCCTTTAGGTGGTGGGCATTAAAAATCCTCACAGCTTTTTGAGCATAAGAAGCAACAACCGGTGTAAGGAGCGACCTCCAAGGATCCAAATGTTTCCTTCAGCTCCCAAACTCTGGATACGAGCTGAACCCCAGAGAGGAAGGACCTGGGGATTAAAAGAGGAGATGAGGAAGGGACAGAGGAAGACTCCTGCGAATGGCGTGGGCTCCTTGCGTACAGGGGAGGGGTGTGTGAGTGGGGGTGCACCGAGGGGGCACGGTGGGGTACGAGGCAGCACCCCGCAGTTCCAAGTAATGGCAGAATAGAACTTAATAGGGTAGAAAAAGCCTGGAGGCTGTTAACTCAGAAACGGTCATTTTAAATTCCCCCATTCTCCATCACTCCCTTCCCCTCTCCATCCCTCCACCCTTAACCCCACCACCACCATCGTGCACGTCTTGCCTGTGTAATTTACAGATTCTCCCCGTCTCTCTCTCTCTCTYTTTTTTTTGTCTTTCACCTCTTTTTTCCTTCCATCTCTTGCCCTGTCCCCTCCACTTCCCCCTCCCTTCTTTTTTTTCTCACATCTCCCCCTCCCCCCCATCTCTGTCTCCTTGGAGGAGGTGTAATGATAGCTATTTGAGTGTCATCAGAGGATCGCTGTAATGGGTTCTAAAGCACCATCCTACGGTTGCCACGGTGAACCTGGCACAGCCGCTGTCCCAGAAGAAGGGGTAAAAAAGAAAAAAATCWGGTTGGCTACGGACAGGCGTCACTGTGCCGACAGCAGGAGCAAGCAGCACATCAGCAGACGATGACGCGGCCCCCGGGGGCCACAGAGAGGGAGCTAATGATGCGTGGGATAGGATACATATGAGGAGGAAGTACAGTAATAGTGATAATAGAGCTGGTAATGAAAATAATAGTAGTGATAACAAAAACAGTTTATGACTTTTTTTGATTTCTTAGCATGCTCTCTTTATTTTTGTTTTTTTTCCTGTTCAAGGATTTTTTTTTTTGTTTTAATTCAAATAAAATATTACATCAGTTCTGAAGGGGGGGGGGGGGTTAGACTCTCTGATTAGAAATCCAAGATCTGATTTCCATTTTAATTATTTTATTTTGAATAGATGGATGCTGAGTTGTCAATGAATTTCAGGCATGCACACACATGCCTGCTGGAGCCACTCATACTCACAGGAGATCTGATGGAAAAAAAAAGAGAAGCAGATTAGATTTTTATTGCTTTTTTTCATATATATAGTTGTTAAAGTAAGTGTGAAACTGCAGACTTAGTTGTTTCAGACATGTGCCAGACTGTGTGCAGTTAGATCCACTAAATTCACCATAAATGTTCTAAACTTCTAAGCTCACTACTATTTGTCCAAAAGAGCAATTATGTTTTTGCTTGCATTTGTTCATTTGTCTGTCTGTTAGCAAAATATCTCAAGAACCTCTGGATGGACTTTAATGGGGGGGAAATGTAATTATTGGATGTACGTGTAACTGATTGCCTTTTGGAGTCACTGCCATTCAAAATGACAGCCACAGCGAAGTGACATTGGTAAATATTAAAATATGACTCAGTCAATTTTACAGCTATTTAACGAAACTTTGGTGGTAGCAGCTGAGAGTCATCCCTTTATACCTCAAGCAGTAACTGCTTGGATGAGTTTTACTTAAAATTTTGCTATTGAGTTTAGGAATCAAATCAGTTTGTCTGTTGACAAAACAGCATTACCCAGTGGATGTAGTTAAATAAAACTTTTAGAAAGTAACCACTGGATGTGCATCTATACCTAAACGTTGATTGGAATTAACTGAGTTCAAAATGTCTGCCGCAACCAATTAACTGAGGAATCACAAACATGGCCAGTTTTACAGATGCTTAATTGATTAATTTTACAGCTATTGAGCTAAAATTTGACATAGTATTTGCCAGTCATTTACAAGTATAACATACTCTAAGCATTAACAGATCATGTGTGCATCTAAAGTTTTGAAATATCCCAGCATATTCTGCATAATGTTCTTTTTCAAGGTTTTACCAAAATGGCCATAAGTCCACTATTTCTCAATCTAAGACATGCATTCCTTAAAAGAATGCTAGGCCTTTAATTCTGGAAATGAATTTAGAGGTGGCTTTAGTGTCCATTTTCAATCAGATTGTATAAAAAGGCGAAGATGTAGCTGAGAGTTTTTTCCTCAATCTAACCACACTATTGCGCTAATGCAACCTAACCAAGTAGCTCTGATGTGTAATCCTAATGATGTGACAAGTAAAATATCAGTTTAAGAAATGCATAAGAGGTAAAAAAAAAAATAAAAAAACAATTTAAAATAATCAAACTAATTTTTTTCTTCCTCATACCATCCCTGTTATTCCTAACCCAGGTTTACAGATTTGCTTAAGCTAGAAATTGTGTAAACTTACATGTTTAGTCTTGTTTTCAATATACTTGCAGACACTACTTTCAAAATATACTGCAGTTTTTACGTTGCCTCCATGTGCTTACATGTCTGTTTGTTTAGTGTGACATGAACTGTTTGTTGCATTCTGAGCTGCAGTTCAAGTCTCGGTCGGGGAGGGAGAGGGACAAATCTTAGGGTGGGTGGTGTTTACTGCGGACCCCTGAGAGCCTTTCATGAACTTTGTGAGAGCGGTGATGACATTTATGTTTCTGTGGGTCAGTGGGTATATATGTTTATAACCGCAGACAAGCATAGGGGAGTGTGTGTGTGTGTGTGTGTGTGTGTGTAGGTATGTGTGTGTGTGTGTGTGAGTGTGTATTTGAGGAGTGGGGAGGGGCGGCTGCAGTAGATTAGCCAGGTTGGGGTGATTGGGTTGAGGATTAGAAGGATTCAGGAAAAGACACGTCTGTTTACTCCTCAAAGAGGGCTTATAATGGGCTGATTGGCAAGGTTGATTACACCCCCCCCACTACCCTCTTACCCTACACAAACACACACACACACACACACACACACACACACACACACACACAC